GAAGGCACCGAGTCGCGCGCCGATAGANGTTTCGGAAGTGCGATATGAGGGCATCCTTCTGGACTGGGCAGGCGACCGGAGCTGTTCTCTGAAGCCATCTGTAGGGTCTTGTTCAGCCTCTTCGATGAGTTTCTGTTCCTGTCCCCTCGCATGCTCTAGCTTCTGGGCTTTGTAAATGCCTCTGCAGAGTGTCTTGAGGTGCGCTGCGAGGGGTCTGAGTGAAGGATATTGCGCCGCCAGTTGAGATGCCGCCAGTTGACCTGATCTTGCTGCCCTACATAGGCTGTTGAACAAAGGTCTCCCCCTTCTCGGGGTTGGATGCTTGGAAGACGACCGCAGTATTTCTGTGATATGACTCGCATATCCATCCACATTTATCTGCTGAGAGACAGGGAGGATTTCATGGGCTCTTGATAGGAGTTTCGTCTCGTTGATGCTTCTTGAGAGTGGTTTGCGTTTCACTTTAGGGGTCGTTTCTCCTTCGAGGGTGATTTCGATGCCAATTGGGAGATGCGGTTTGATGGAGGCCCCTTCTTTGAGTCCGTGATTCGTACCCAGGAAGGAGACATTCCTGCGGGGCATATTTGTCGCGAAAATGTCAATGATCGAGCGGCCCTTATGATTTTCGAAAGTATGTTCCCTCAAGTCGTTCACTACCCAGCAGCCGATACTGGACAGGAAGTCGAGGAGCGCTGTCGTGCGTTCGTCGTGTTCCCGCTCCATTAGTGTGTTGAAGTCGCCGCCTTGGATCAGGGGTTCCGAGCTATTGAACGCTCCCGTTCCCGTTGAGAGTTTGTCGAGCAGGATTTCGCTAGATTCGGTTCCCGCCGGACGGACGTATGCTGCCACGATGTTGAATCTGGAGCTTCTCGCCGCTATCAGGTTTTCTTCGTTTAGAACAGGGACGAGGTCCCCTACTCTATGATTGTAGAGTATGGAGACCCCTCCGCTTGGGCGACCTGCGCCCGGTGTCTTGAGCGCAGGGGAATGGATTGCGTAGAAGCCTGATGTGTCAAAGGGGGAGACAGACCAAGTTTCCGTAAGTATGAGAATATCGATGTTTTTGAGGCAGTCCGGGTCAATGAGCTGAATGTTTTTCGCGCCTCCACAGTTCCACTGAACTATGTTTAACGTCTGGTTCTGGTCGGGGGTCGTCCTCTGCTCGGCCGGCGGAGGCTTCGTCCGCGGCTCCGGCTTCTCGAGGTTTCTGCTCGAGGAGGTCGCGACTTGCTCCTCTGTCTCGCTGTTAGGGGTGGGGGCGGATTTCTCCCCTGGGACCATTGCATCATCGCCGTGAGCATATCCCGGAAATGGGGAAGGTTGGGGGTGGGATCACGTCTTCGTTGATCACGGTTTAGTGAGAGGTTCCGCTTGGCTGTCGGTCTCTGTTGCGATGTCGCGTTGGAATGCCTCGTTCGAGATCCTCCATCCGAAGAACCTCCGTCTGGAGATCCTTCGTTTGAAGATCCTCCATTAGAAAGACTCTGGAGAAATATTCGAGAATGTGAATGAGTGGGTGGCATGTCTCCGTGTGTCTCCGACTTCGAGGTATCATGAATCAAGGGTAATCCAAAAGAGATCAGGATACGAAAGGGTTCGAATTCGCAGATTATTTATCAGATATACGGAGAGTCAATTTATCAACGAAGCCCAACTTCATATCTCGAGACTCCGCAAAATACAATAATAAAAAGCGGCTGAATATGTCGTCCCCTAAATGACATATGTTTTTCAGTTTTCTTCGATTAAATCCGACTCGCGAGTGCGCGAATATCACGTGCATTCAGGGATTGGTACGCATGGAGAAGGATCCTTATAAGCGAGTCCACTTACCTATATGGAAACCTCATACGCGAGGCTGTTCATGCTGAAATCTCCTTCTACGCGGGGCTGCACATACCACATACCTATGCTCACTTCTTTGCGCGCGAGGTTGCCTATGCGCACAGTTCCTTCTGCGCGAGGTTCCTCATACGATAAGTTCCCAATACGCGAGGTTGCTCTTGTGGTTAGCTCCCTATGAGCGAGGTTTCTTTCGTGGTTAGCTCCCCATGAGCGAGGTTGCTTATACGGAAAGTTTCCTGAAAACGAGGTTGCTAATACGGAAATCCGCTCACACGCGAGGTTTCTGATGCGGAGGGTCCCCTATGCTTACGGTTGCCATTGCGGAAAGTTCGTTTTATGATGCTTCATTTTGCGATTTTTGAGGTGGCTTGTAAGCGGGGCTCTATACTCTCGGTTTGCTTCTCAGTGAGCTTCTCCATCACTGCTGCTAAGCTCCGCAAGATGGCTTCGATTTCCCTCTTCTGATCCTCATCGTCGACTGCGCCACTGAAACGCTCTGGTTCACGTGGAGTAACTAGTCATGCTACGTCTACTGTAGGAATCAATTTATT